CGAGAAGATGCAAAAAGCCGAGCCCATGTACGTCGATGTTATGGGCCAACCCTATGAGATCGAGGTCTACTACTATGTCGTCAAGAACATCACCTACGTCCTTCTCGATGCTCCCATCTTCCGCAAGCAGACCAAGGCCGACCCTTATATCGCCCGTATGGACGATATCGAGTCCGCCATCCTATACGCTGCGTGGAACAGCTGTATCGCCGAGTCTATCCGCCGCTTCCCAGTCGACATCTACCATATCAACGATTACCACGGTGCCGCCGCTCCCCTCTACCTCTTGCCCCAGACCATTCCCGTCTGTCTTTCGCTCCACAACGCCGAGTTCCAGGGTATGTGGCCTATGCGTACCCCCGAGGAAGCGAAGGAAGTCTGCGAGGTTTTCAACCTGCCGCCTGAGGTCGTCAAGGATTACGTTCAGTATGGTTCCGTCTTCAACTTGTTGCACGCTGGCGCCAGTTATCTCCGTATTCACCAGCGTGGTTTCGGTGCTGTCGGTGTGTCCCGCAAGTACGGTGATCGTTCATTGGCTCGTTACCCTATCTTCTGGTCTTTGAAGAACATTGGCCAGCTTCCCAACCCCGATCCTTCCGATACCGCCGACTGGGATCCCAGCCAGGATGCCAATGACCAAGCCAAGGGCGTCGAGGTTGACCAGTCATTCGAGGAGAAGAGAGGAGAGTTCCGTCGCCAGGCACAGGAATGGGCCGGTCTCGAGGTTGACCCTTCGGCTGAACTCTTCGTCTTCGTTGGTAGATGGTCTCTTCAGAAGGGTGTGGATCTGATTGCTGATCTGTTCCCCAGCATTTTGGAGAAGGTAAGTCAACCTCCGCTGCATACTCCCAACCGTGTAGTGTTTGCTAACAGAATCGGTAATAGTACCCCAAGACTCAGCTCATCTGCGTTGGTCCCGTCATTGATCTTTACGGTCGCTTCGCTGCTCTCAAGTTGGAGAAGCTCATGCAAAAATACCCCAAGCGTGTCTTCAGCAAGCCCGAGTTCACGCAGCTTCCTCCCTACATCTTCACCGGTGCTGAGTTCGCCCTTATCCCCTCGCGTGATGAGCCTTTCGGTTTGGTCGCTGTCGAGTTCGGTAGAAAGGGTGCCTTGGGTGTCGGTGCTCGTGTTGGTGGTCTCGGTCAGATGCCTGGTTTCTGGTACACTGTCGAGTCCATGACGCCCTCCCATTTGATCCAACAGTTCAAACAGGCTATTGATTCCGCCCTTGCCTGCAAGCACAACAAGAGAGCCGTCATGCGTGCGTGGTCCGCCAAGCAACGTTTCCCCGTCGCCCAGTGGGTTAAGCAGCTCGATGATCTGTACAGCGAATCTATCCGTATCCACATCAAGGAACAGAAGAAGAAGAAGATGGAAGTCCTGAGCCCTGGCCTTAGCGTTCCTGGTGCCTCGTCGCGTGCTAGCTACGCCGATCCTGGCAGCGGTCGCTCGTCTCCTGGTCCTCTCGCTATGCCCTCTCGTCCCGTTACCCCCACGCTCCGCGATCTCGCTTCTCCCGATCTCCCGACACCGGGTGCCCCCTGGGCAGGCGGAAGGTCCGAGTCACCAGGAGTCCGCGACTCGACTGCGAGCTCCATTGGCGGAAACTTCTACTTGCAGCCTAACGGTGCTCGTGAAAGCACCATGAGTGTCGACAGCTTTGCGATCCGTGCCCAGAATGGAGGACCCATGTCACCTGGCCTTGGTTCCGATGGCGGCCTTGCCTTCCCTCGTCCTGCGTTCTCACAGGCCCACCGCAACAGCAGCCTCCTCAGTCTTCCGGACGTTGTGGGTGACCGTCACGATCTCAAGCTCCAGAAGGTTGACCAGTTTTTCAACGATACCAACGGCGAATACTATGCGGAATTCGAGCAGATGCTCGAGGCCTTGACCGCTGGTAACTCTTCTAGCGACCTCTGCATTGAAACCTTCTTGAAGAAGAGTGAAAAGGAGTGGTTTGCGAGGTACAGAGACGCCAAGCTTGGTCGCCACAGAGACGCCAGCCGTATGGGCCGGAGTCCTGGAGGTAGCAGACCCGAGTCGAGAAACGGGGATCGCAGCGAGTCAGTTGTCAGCCGTGGCCGCCAACCTATGCGCAGCGCTACCCCCAGTGGCTTGGCTAGGTCTGTCTTCGAGGAGTCGCCACCGGGTGGACGCAACGATTACGATGATGAGTTCTTGTTGGGTGACGGCTACCAGGCTCCCACTGGTCTCAAGAAGCTCCTCTCCGTTCGCATCGGTGACTGGCCGCTTTACTCGTTCTTCCTCGCTCTTGGGCAAATCATCTCCGTTAACTCCTACCAGATCGTCCTGTTGAGTGGCTCGCAAGCTCAAACGCCTGAGAAGCTCTACACGGTTGCCGGTGTCTACATCGCTACGTCCCTCATGTGGTGGGGTATGGAGCGCAACTTCAAGTCGGTCTACGCTCTGTCTGCTCCCTGGTTCTTCTTCGGTCTCGCCTTCCTCCTTCTCGGTGTCGCGCCATTCCTTGATGACTGGAAGGCGGCTGACGGCATGACAAGCGCGGCTACCGCCTTTTACGCGGCTGGAGCCAGTCATGGCGCCTTGTCGTTCGCCCTCAACTTTGGTGACGAAGGTGGTGCTCCTACCAGGCAGTGGATCACTCGTGCCCTGATCGTTTCCGGTATCGCCCAGGTCTACTCTCTTGGTCTCTGGTACTGGGGTGCGACTGTGTCGAGCGAGGCTCAAACCATGACCAAGTTCATTGGCGAGTCGGGCGTCCCTCTGGCCCTTGTTATCTGCATCCCGATTGCCGTCTTCCTCTGGGCAATTGGCGTGATTCTTTACGTCGGTCTGCCAGACTTCTACCGCCAGTCTCCGGCCACGATTCCCGGCTTCTACATCTCGCTGTACCGCCGTAAGATTGTGCCCTGGTTCTTCGTCATGATCATCCTCCAGAACTACTGGCTTTCGGCGCCCTACGGCCGCAGTTGGGGCTTCTTGTTCGCGACGCAGTTCATCCCCAACTGGGGTGTCTTCCTGATGGCCCTCGGTTTCTTCGTGGTGCTTTGGAGCATCGTCCTCTATGGTTTCTCGTACTTCTCGGACGAGCACACGTGGCTCCTGCCCATCTTTGCCATTGGTCTCTGCGCTCCTCGCTGGGCCCAGGAGATGTGGGGTACTAGCGGTATCGGCTGGTACCTCCCATGGGCCGGCGGCCCTGTTGGCTCGGCCGTCCTCTCCAGGTGTCTCTGGTTGTGGCTGGGCCTGCTAGACAACATCCAGGGCGTCGGTCTCGGCATGATGCTGCTGGCGACGCTGACGAGACAGCACGTGCTGACGGTGCTCATTGGCGCCCAGGTGATCGGTTCCGCGTTTACGATGATTGGACGCGCGACGAGCCCCAACGCTCTGTCGCCCAACACGACTTTCCCCGATTTCTCGCAGGGCTTGTACCCTGGCGTTGCCAGCCCGTACTTCTGGGTTTGCTTGATTTTCCAACTGATTATCCCAGTTGGATTCTTCAAGTTCTTCAGAAAGGAACAGGTGGCGAAGCCATAAATGACCACCATTTTTTTTTTTTACATCTCTTTATTTTAATGGCGGAGTTGAGAGTAGTTGCCGGCGATTTCGGGTGGTGCAGTGGTGCGGCGGCGATGTGGCTGGGAGTTGTGTGGTACGGTCATATCAGGTCATAGGTGATGGTGATGGTGGTTTTTGGAAAGTTGTGGTCTAAACCGGTGGTGTTTTTTTTGGATACTGCACACACGCACACACGCATACACGCACGTATACGCACACACACACATTATACGCAAAAGGCTACTACTCTCGCGCGCAACAAGCATATTATTTACATATCATATATATTTTTGTTTTTTATCCCACAGCATCATTACCAGCATCATCAAAGAGTGCGCAAGCGTGTGCGTGTGTGTGTATGTGAGCGTCTGAGAGAGAGAGGGTGGGAGGGATGTGAAAATGAAAAAAAGGGGAGGGATTGATCACATCATCGTCGCTTTTGGGATAAAGAAAGAGCCACCATGCTTTTTCTGTGTTTTTGCTTTCCTTTCTTTTTCATGTCTGTCAGTCAGTCACTCTGTCTCTTGTCTCTTGTCATTTGTTTACTTGTCATTTTATTTTGCGGCGTCCATAACCTATAGAAGAGAGAGCGTTTCGAAAACGGGGAACGAAAGGAACTGAATAAAGGAAGGGAAAGAAAGGAAGGAAAGGAAAGGAAGGAAGGAAGCGACTGTCTCGTCGGTTTTCGTTGTTACGAAAAAAGAGAGAGCAAGCAACGTTTTCCTTTTATTTTATTACCATTGCAAATGGTTATTCTTTTGTACATATATAGTCTTTATACGATTTTGTTAATAGATGGGATACATAAGTAAAATAAACACATGATCATATCTTACTGCTGTCGGTTGTAACTTTGAAGGTGACTAATTACCCCGCGACCCTCCTCACTCGATACCGTTCGTCAGTCAGTTAGTTATGCTCTTCGATGGAAACAACCAAGAGCAGGAAGAAAGAGATCTTGGGTTTCAACATCGTTGAAGTTGAAGGGGTGATTAATCAACTTCGGTTGGGGGTGCTTAGAATATCCAAGTAGGCTCTTGGTTAGCCAGTGGTAGAAGAAGTAAGCTTGAGGTATTTGGACCGTAATGGATGTAGTCTTGCTAAGTAACTGATGCTAAACAAGGACATAAGAACGGGCGAACAAGTCTAGGTAATGTATGTGTATACCTTGAAGCATCACGTCTCATTTCCATCTAGACTCATGAGCAGCGTGGTGTCGCATAAAAAGGTGGTATCATCAAGTTCTCGAGTTCTATATATACAAGAAGAAATTACCTTCCCTAGATATCTCCAGCCCAAGATCTATTCTATTCATCCGTCTCGTATCATACGGCAAAGATATCCAAAAACCCAACAAAAATGTAATCTAAGTTGTACTCTTACAAAATTCATGAACATAACCACACTCATACCCCTTTCAAACACCCTCATTCATCAAAAGTCATCACATCACCTCAATCCCCCAAACTCATAAAACCCCAAACGGCAATCCCGCCCGCCAATAACAACACGGTACAAATAGCCGCCCCGGCCTTATCCGCCGTAGTAATCGGCTTCATCTCCTCCTCCTCCGACGACGAGCCCCTACTTCCCGTTCCCGCATTCGGATCTCCCTTACTGATCCCCCCCGTCTGGTTGGTGGCGGGGGGATCCGCCTGCTCAATCAACAAACTGCTCACAGCCGCGAGGACATCCATGGCCTCTCCGGCACCCGTGGTCTTGTCCACGGCCGGATCGACAAACGCGCCCTCGGACCAGTAAAACCCACACACCCTGCCCGTGGCTCCGCCGGTGCACTGCTTCGCGGCTGCTTCGGCCGAGGTCTTGAGGACCGGCAGAATGGTGTCCTTCATAAAGGGAGCAACCTGCGCCACCGTCGCCATCCACCGGTGCACGTAGCCCTTGAAGGATAACATGTCCGGGGTGCAGGCGCCGTGGCGCGTCTCGCAGGGGAGTTCGAAGGCGATTCCCTTGGGGAAGAAATCTCGCAACAAACCCTCGGTGAGCTTCTCGACGCGGGTTTTCCAGACGTTGTCCGAGTCACCGTCCGTGTAGTTGTACATGAAGGCGGCGCCTTGAGCTAAAATGGCCGCGTTGTAGCTGAACTGCGCCTTGTTGATGTCCGTGCAGTTGTGCCCGACGTGTCCGCCGTCGTAGACTTTCCACGACTCGTGGTCGATGTAGTTGACGTTGTAGAGCCACTCGAATTGCTTGGTGGCCCAGGTGGCGTAGGTTTCGTTGCGGGTGTAGCGCGCGAGACGGGCGCCGAGGTTGAAGAAACTGCCGGGGATTTGGTCAGCTGGAGGAGGGAGGGGACTTGGAAGCCCCTCAAATTGGGGCGGGATGTACACTTACATTGCGTTGGCAATGGTATTCTTGTAGTCGTAACCGTTGTTGGCGAGAGGGATCTGCCACCGTAGACCACCGTTGCAAGTGTCGTCGTGGCGTTCAGGCGCGGCTTGGGTGGCCCAAACGGCCTGAGCAAGGGCAAGCCACTGCGGTTGGTCATCGGGCGGATTGGGAAACTTGTTCTCGGCGGCGAGCATGGCGGTCATGCCCCAGAACCCTTGGTCGTCGTTTCCGAGCGAGGCCGTGTAGTTCAAGGGCTGGAAGTCGCGCCTGTCGCCGACCTGGTGAAGAATGCCCTGGATGACAACATCGTTGTAGGTGGTGTCGCCGGTCAAGTGCCAGTAGTCGACCACGGTGCCCATCAGGGCGCCGCCTTCCCACCAGTAATAGTCGCCCTTGCCGTCGGAGGGCGGCCCGGGCAGAATACCTGGGATTTCGCCCGACTGGTTGCCCTTGTAGAACAGCATAGTGTCGTATGCTAAGGTTTTGGCAGAGGCGCGGATGTTATCTGAGGGAGTGTGTTAGTTGCGTCTGCATTAGGTGGAAGTGCTCAGTTTGCTCAGTACCTGGGGTATCGACTGCGTAGCCTTGGGCATTTGCTGCCGGCAGCAAACAGCCTGTGGCGACGAGAAGAGCTGTGAACCATCTCACCCCTCTTGGTGATGTTATTGTCGTCATCATGTATAGTGTTTCTCTCTTATCTGGTTGTCGGCCCTCAACCCAGGTCGATATTCAATCTCTTCAAGATATCCCGGGGATAATATGTCCTCCTCGTCGTCGGTAATAACAATAAGAGTGGATGATGCACTGGCAAACTATCCAATGCGAAATCCAAGAGATTGTAAGAAAGAATGGCTGCGATTAAGACCAAAGAGAATGTGCTTTAACGAATGACTGGTATTACTAGACCGACGTAATGTTGGTCTAGGACTACCTTGAACAGCGCACACAACAAAGAACGGAACGCTACCTCTACAGTTTGCGACTTATTTGTTAAAGTAAAAAAAAAAAAGAGCAACAAGAAAATCTGGAGACCTGACAGTTTCAGACATTGAAGTCGGGAGAGTGGGTACTATTCCCGATGACGCGGCGGAAGGGGTTCTCGGTTCCGGAGAAGGCCTGGAGATAAGATAACCGGCGAGCGGAAGTGGGCAGTGCAATATGATGGGCACTCAATTCCCACCTCACCCCTTATTGTGCGAGCCGTGGTGGATGGTGGCTTCCATGTTGGACCTGAAGATCTGCCTCTCCGGTCCTTCCCATCACGGCATTGCTCCGTTGTGGTGAAATCAGGTTCGCGGCCAGTGGTGTGGTCGTAATCTGTAACGCTAATCCCCACGTTACGTAAAATACCGTATACGTTTCTGAAAGGTACGTCCGGTCAATCGTTATTCCAATCGCCTGCACTAAGGAGCAAACAGGGACAGGAAACATTGATACGACAGATCGTCACCCGTTCTAGGGGATAAAACAGATGGGGACTGGCAATCTGAATTCTGCGCGGGATGTTCAAGGTCGCTTCTGGAAAATGCAAGAAGGGCGTTTTATTTTTATATAAAATGCGCGATGTTGATCAACTTCTCTGAGCTCGAATGTATTGTTGAAGGGACGTTTGTGAGGTAAAAGCGCCGTTCGTGCCGTTCGGTATGAACCCTGATCGCCCTTCCACTACTATTTAAGAACCTCAGCGCTTGGGGCGCAGTCAAGTTTACCCCATACACAGATGAATAACAACCTCTATCATCCAAGGCAGAAGGAGCGACTGGTAGAAGTTGAAAGTCCAATTGACACTTACTTTCTTCCCTCGCCATAATCTTCCTCCTTTGACCGAGTTGGAACCCTCTTTACCCTTTCCAACTTCGTTCTTGCGCTGTCTCATTTTCCAGCAATCGACTTCCGTCTTCGGTTCGTTTCTTCTCCTGCCGACAGAATTACTTCAAGACGAGACTGCATATAGCTAGCCCCCTCGTGATAATGACGATCCTCGTTTCCTCGAGTACGAAATGAAGCTGTTATGAACTGTCGAAATGGCTCTGTTGAAACATGTCAACATGAATGCGACATTGTCATCAACCATTTGAGGATGCCGTAGGTTAACAAGTCTTCTTGGCGACGTTGGTGATACAACCCCGGATTTCGATTCCCGCCCTACGCGGTCATGTGGAACCGCCGACGACGCTAACACGGCCCCGCTTCCCCGCCCATACCAGGCCGAGCATCGGCGCCGCCCTCCCGAGCACCTCCGAGGATGATTCACAGCTTCCGCTTTCACAGTCAGAGAGACCACCCCTCCATTCTACGCACCGGACCGGGCTTGCCAGCTACTGCTGTTTTACGAAAAGATGGCAGCACGTCAAGTGCTGGGCTTTCCGCGAGCACGGCTCACTCTCACTCCCCATTCCCGGAACCTGATTCCCTCAGTACAGCGACAACATCGGCCAACCTTTGCTCCCCAGGCCTATCAGTCGACACGATGGGCATCACAACAATCCAATAATATCCCCGAGGGGAATGGACAGGAAAAGCCCAATCCGCAACGCCCGATTACCAGAGAAAAATGGATCATCATTGTGTTGTCGACGATGCTCTTTGTGGATGTTTCAAAAAGTTATTGGAAGGACTTGTTGGAGAAGGACGAGCGTTCACTGGAAAAGCCGACCTACGCAAGCCACAAAGAAATGCTTGAAGCTGCAAACGAGATTGCTCAGGTCCTGGGACAAGACGCCGTCACATACGATACCGATGTTCTTGAACACCACGGCCATTCGGACTGGTCAACATCCAACTCACCCGGGCGTGCCGTCTCCGTTGTCTACCCACGCACAACTGACCACGTATCTGCCATCGCCCGTATATGCAGTGCTCGCAATGTCCCCATGGTTCCCTTTGGCGCTGGTTCCAGCGTTGAGGGCAACTTCTCCCAGCCATATTCCGGCATCTGCATCGACTTCACCTACATGGACAAGGTCATTGCCTTCCACCCAGATGACATGGACGTGGTCGTTCAGCCGGGCGTTAACTGGGTTGATCTCAACAACCAGATCGCCCATACAGGGCTCTTCGTGCCTTTGGACCCCTCTCCCACTGCCACGGTTGGTGGAATGGTCTCAACCAATTGCTCCGGCACCAACGCCATGCGTTACGGGACTATGAAAGACTGGGTGCTCAACCTGACCGTCGTCCTCCCCGATGGTCGGGTCATCAAGACACGTCGGCGGCCTCGCAAGACATCGGCTGGCTACAACTTGACTTCTCTCTTTGTCGGCGCCGAAGGTACTCTGGGCATAGTAACCGAGGTCACCTTGAAGCTCGCTCCTATCCCCAAGGAAACCAGCGTTGCTGTCGTCTCTTTCCCTACCATTCACTCTGCCGCAGCCGCCGCTTCCAAGCTGATTCGCTCCGGGATCCAGCTCGCTGCTCTGGAGCTCATGGACGACGAGCAGATGAAATTGCTCAACATCCACGGAAGCGATGCAGTCCGCAAGCGGGCTTGGGACGAGAAGCCTACCTTATTCCTCAAGTTCAGCGGGACCACCAAGGACGCCATCAAGAGCGATGTGTCCAGCGTAGGCGAGATCATCAGACCCTGGACAGACAGCAAGTTCCACTTTGCAAAGACGAAGCAGGATGAGCTGGACCTCTGGTCTGCGCGCAAGGAAGCCCTCTTTACCATGGTAAACACTCGGCCCAAAGGCACGGAGATCTGGTCTACGGACGTGGCCGTGCCCATTTCAAGACTGGCGGAAATCATCGAAATCTCGAAGCAGGAGTGCGGATCCCTGGGCTTGTTTGCCAGCGTCATTGGCCATGTGGGTGATGGAAACTTTCACGTCTCCATGATGTACGACCCTACAGATTTGCAGCAGAAGCAGGCGGTCGCCAAGTGCGTTAAAAATATGATGACACGAGCGCTGGAGATGGAGGGTACTGTAAGCGGGGAGCATGCGATTGGTATTGGGAAGAAGGAGTGCTTGGTGGACGAGCTCGGAGAAGAGACCATTGGGCTTATGAGGCAGCTCAAGGCTTCGGTTGATCCAAAATGGATCATGAATCCGGGAAAGGTGTTTGACTGGATGGGGTAATGGGGAGGCAACCGGCGGTGGCTTCAAGCCTGAGTTCGAGGTCTAGAAGCAATGAAGTTGGCAGCGGCTCAGACAGACGACATGTGGTATTTTCTGTAACATTCGACCAGGCGTCGCTTTGACTTCTTTCAATTCGGCTCAACACACGACCCTCAAAAATTCAGCCTCGGACGGTATTCGCCCCGTCTTATATGGAGCGGTCTTCAAGTTGAATGGTCGTTATTCGCAGCAGGGGATGCCAAGCCGCTACCATCCGACTCAACAGGTGACAAGTGGTCACGATATGGCGGAGACTGAGGGAAAACATCACTAGTTGGATGACAGCTTGTGAGACTTGAGGCGAACCAATAGCGTGGGATGCCGTCGCACTGTCAAGTGAGGTTGTCATCAAGCCCTCCCTCAGCCCTACGGAACGGTCGGATATCGGACGTGCTCCACATTGAACCAAGCATGCTGCATGGCTAATTTTGACAGTGCCGCTACATCCACACCAAGCTTGCCCCGGCTAAGAAAGCCAAGCAAGTGGGGAGCCACGATGTTCGTATTCCAGCTTCTCGTTCGATTTGAGAAGTTTCCAGCAGTCCGAATAGTGGATACTTGGGGGTTGTGGTGCGGTTCGGTTGGCTGGACCTTTCCTCAATCCTCTTTTTATAAAAGAGGAAATGTTTTAATGAGACAGCGAAATATTATAAGACAATTTAAATTATAATTATAATATTAAGAAAGCTATTAATATAGCAACGCTCGCGAATTAAACGAGTACAAAATTATTCTTCAAAAATCCATCAAAATTCTAAGAAATTGAAAAGGTTTTTAGATAACTATTTTCCAATTTGTATTAATTTTAATTTAGGTGGAAAGAAATAATAAAAGAAAAGGATTCAAAGTACATTAAACTTTAAATTGCTAAGATGCGCTTTGTAAATGCACTCATTCGATTTTGGTAGCCAAATAATACCCTTTTATTTGCTAACCTTTTTTCAATAGAAATACAAGCTCAAATTTTTGTATTTCGTTTTCTGATACAAAGAAAAGCGTATATAATTTTTAGTAGAATTTGGAAAATCCTGGCGCAGTTTTGATACAATATGTTTTGGTTGTACTATTGAATTTCTTAGTGCTTTGGCTGTAATTCAGATTGTCCCATGATATTTCGCTGTCCCATTGAAAAAATTCCCCTTACTTTATAAGTAGGGGGTTAAGGAAAAGTCCCACCAATGCACCACAACCCCCAAGTATAAAGGCAACCCATTTCCCGGGTCCTCTTACATCCTTGTTGTGAACTCCACATCGCCAAATCCTCGGGACCCGTACGTCAGGAGATCTTTTTCAATAGAAGACGAATACAAATATCTCACGAAAAGCACCCTTCTTTCCCGACTTTCTTCCTACCCGATTCCTTCGTCTGCATCCTACACATCCAATTAACTTCACCGCCGCCACCACCACCACCACCAAAAATCAAACACAACAACAATGCAACTCACCACCCTCCTCACCGGCGCTCTCGCCACCTTCCTCACCCTCGGAAGCACCGCCTCTGCCGCGCCCGCCTCTGCTTCTACTCCCTATGAAGCCGGCAACACCAAGCGCGTCCCCACCCTCGGCGGCTTCCGCCTCTCCACCGCCGACACCTGCCCCATGGACCTCAGCTCCCAGAACTGGGAGTTCTATACGGTCAACTTTGGCGCTGCCTGCGGCGAATGCACGATTCCCAAGCGGCAGTGGACCGGCAACGGCACCGAGACGCTCGATGCCCGCACCATCAGCGACGCCTACCTCAACCCCAAGTGCCAGATCACGCTGTTCCAAAAGACGGACTGCTCGGACCCCGGCATCGTGAGCGGAAGCGGCTGCTGGGCGCCCGAGGGCGGGATCAAGGCTTATAAGATCTCGTGCCCTTGGTGGGAGGAGCCAGCGATCGAGAGTGGGAACTGGTTGAGGCCTTGCTATAAGTAGGCGAAGGGAATGAATGGGATGGGATGGGATGTGATGTGATGTGATGGGGGTACGTCTAGAGGGAGAGAGAGGAAGAAGGTATTGATGAGGAAAGAGATTAATATCAGAGGAAATTATATCGGAACTTCGGAACTCCAGCGAGCGTTGTTTGAGGGGTGTGGGAGTTGACTGTAGGAAAGGCAGTGAGTGGCAGTGAAGGATATGACGTGAGCGTTTTGGGTCCATTTTCATGAGAGCAATTCGTCATTAGGAATTTTGACATTAATATCCCTTCACAATTTCATGCAGAACTGATATTGGCTTCTGCTTGTTAACTATCACCTTATCTAGTTCCTCGGCGCAATCTATCATCACCAAATATAAACCCTCCTTCTACGACACTATGTTCTACTTGCTTTGACCTCCCCTTCAACTTACTAGTGTCCCTCCCCCTCAACCACCGTCCTAGCATGCACCCTCGCCATCCAAGTCCGACTAACTGTCCTTCTGATCCTCCTTCCCCAAGCCATAAACACCAAAACCACCACATTGTTCGCCAACAACAAGCCGCCAAAGACCCCCGCAATCACCCTCCCATATCCGCTCTCCAAAATCCAATCCAGCACATTCAGCCCCATACCAAAGCTAATCGCCTGCTTCCCGACGTTCATGATAATTAGCATCTCGGACAGGTTCGCCGTGTAAGAATCCACCGCGTATGCCAGCGTCACCGTAAAGTAAAAGTACCCCCCAAACTGCGTCATGGCCACGCCCGCCATGTATGCGATCCAATGCAGATTCTTTTCGGCCGCCAGGCCAAAGACGACCTGTCCTGCGGGCGCGATGAGCATGGCGGGGAGTAAGATGGGCAAACGCATTTCGGCTTCGCGGATGCCGTTGTTGCGTTTGGTTAGGTAGGCTGCTAGCCGGTCGGATAAAGAGACGCAGGGGATGGCGAGACCGAACCCTAAAAAGGTGGCGAAGGAGTGGAAGCCTGATGAGGTGGAAGGCCAGGAGTAAGGAGGGGCGACGATTTTGAGAGGGAAGATGAAGGCGAAAGCGAAGCCGGCTAGGCCGATGTAGATGCCGTAGGTGGTGATGACCCAGAAGGTGGAGGGGACGAGGAGGTGGGTTACGGAGCGGAGGAGCATGGTGTGGATTGGTTGTTCGTTGTGAGGAGCGGCGGCGGGAGTCCAAAGGCGGAGTTGTTGGAGGAAGGGCTTGCGTGGGGGGATGATGGCGGAGTGACTGGGTGAGTCGGCTTCGATGTGATGGACAGTGGCGGCGGCGGTGGTGGTGGTGTTGGCTTCTGCTTTTGCGTTGTCCTTTTTGTCGTCATGACCACCGCGGGAGGTTGAAGATGTCGAAGGCGATGAGGGCAGCGTTCTCCGCTCGTATCTAGTCTCTTCGACAAACAAGAAGCAAAGAACCAACAAGGCCATCCCAAACGCAAACTCTACCCAGAAGAACAGATTCCACGAGAGCCCCGCCCCGAGCATCAAGCCCGAAAACAACGGACCAGTAGCCCCCACGCACAAGGCAATCGTATACCACCCCAACTTCTTCCCTCTCTCATGCAAAAAGAAAATGTCATTAACCAGCTGTACCGGCAACGCCTCACACACGCCCGACCCAAAAGCATGCACTACCCTGGCACCCATTAAGCTGCTGAAGCCGTTTGCCTTTGCTGCCCAGGCTAGCCCGACGACGTACAGCACCAGCGCTACTAACATGACCGGCCGTCGTCCAATGTGCTGATATGTAGGGATGAAGAGGACATTACTAAACCCGAATGCAAGGTTGGGGTAATTCACCAGTCCCGCAGCGGTGTTGGGTGAGATAGAGAACTGCGTAGAGAAGAGACCGATGTAAGTTGAGGGACCGATCAGAGCCGAGTTGCCGAGGAAGGAAAAGGCGGAGCAGCAAAAGAGAATCATGTGTTTCTTCCAGGAGGGCCATTGTAAAGGGTCGTTGGGGTCGGAAGATGGAACGGGAAAGAGGGATTGCCCGTAGTAGGTCTCTTCGCCGTCGAGAGGGCGGAGGTTGACGGTGCCGGGGATGTCGGCTTCGCGGGCGTGACTGGGTTTGATGGAGATGAGTGTGGAGTGGGCAGAAGGAGGGAGGATAGAGGGTTGAGATTACCTGTGAGTGTCGTGCATGACCGCCATGTTGTGGTGTCAATGCAGAGTCAGGTTTGTTGGGCTATGCTTGGGATGACAACCCCTTTTGGCTGGGCCGGGGATGTTGAAGGATGAAGACCCTTGATCAAGATGATCTGGTGAATGAAGCGGAGAAGAAGTGCTGATAAGTGAACCCTTTTTGAACACCCACTCTAATGAGGCAAAGGATTGAACATACATCATAACAGATGGTAGGTAGGTACCAGCTTCGCGGTCAGCAATGTGAGCGGCCCAGTAACCATCAAACCGGATCAAGTTCCCATCCCATTCGATCCAGAAGGACGGGACGCGGATATAGTTTGCAATATGCAATCCTACCGTCGTGGTGAGAAGTTCACGGCTCATGGTCCAGACACTTGAGAGCCAAACTTTCCAGGCCGCTGCTTTGGGCTCGCCACATGATGGAGGGCAATATAGTTGACCTTAGAGGAGTTGATCTCAGTGCCCATCCATCTACCGGCATGTGCAGCCAATACCAAGGACATACTGGGTCGGCCGCGGTATAGTCATCATATTGCATAGTTCCGTTCCTTGGGAGCGGAGCTAGACCCGTGCAGTAAGCCACTCTTCAATAGAGGTGGCCGGTCATATGGGAACACTCAAGCCGTTTGGGGTTTTTACCTGCCATGTGAAGTGAAACCAGCGCGGCTCGCTCTTCCGGACCCCGAGAACGAGACAATAATTGATAGAGTCCGAGAAGAATCTCGGCTGGCAAACGCCAAACCGATGAAGGATGCCAGGATGCAGAACCCGCACCATGGGCCGTGCCGTGCTGTGCCACGCGCAAACATAGATTCGTGGATAAACACGCAAAATCGTGCTGCGTAAGCCTGGAAACAACCCTGATCTTCGGGATATAGCCCAGGGGATGTGTAAAGCCGGATGGTGGTCTTTATCGTTGAGATTTTGGCAAGTGTCGGAGCAGAGCAGACAACTAACTGTGGACGAAGAAAACTTTGCGCCAACATGGAGCTTGGAAAGTGTGCCGTAAGTTTCTCTGACTTCTGATGCGAGTCGGGGTGGGATACTCTTGCCACGCTTTATTGTCCAAGGTATTGGATGGTTATGGCAAGAACCGTGGAGACGATATTGCCTTCCTTCCCATGCGTAGTATGTGAGGGGAAGGTCCCATTACCTAGTTCTGCTGAAGCAGAGCAGGATATTTGGCCAACTTGTACTCTGCTGACGGTACACGGAAGTGTCCAGTGAAACCCGGTTGGTCCTGCGAACCCAGTCCGCAGGCCACCAGTTCGGGACCCAACAGAAGCACCGAGATGGGAAAGTCGTCAGTTTATTCCAGGCTTTTCTTCAGGCCGAGTGTTGATATTCTCAATATGCCGGCAGAACTGCGATCGCAACCCGGGCCCGGGGGGAAAGGAGCCGTGGACGGGCCCCGCAATCATCCGCCGATCCGTGGGTGGAGACCCGTGTTTCGGAGGTCACAGTGGGTCCCTTGCCGGTCTAAGTCGGTGGTGCGGACTTCCGACGATAGGAATCAATTGTCCATCCACATCAAGACCGGAATTATCTTCTCTTTACAAGAATCAATCAAACTGTTGGAGGAAAAGCTGAAGCCAAACCCCAGTGACACAGACTTGACAGTTGCTTGCACTTCCCCTCTCTCCTTCCCCCTCCCCGCCCTCCGAACGAGACCCTGAAACCCTTGTGCGGGGAAGTACTTCTCCGAAATGCACATCGTGCCAACCACAAATTTCCCCTCGGTCTCTGAACCGAGGCACCGGAGAAAGACCGCGTGACCACAGCAGGTATGAAAGCTCCTCATTACCCCTGACAGGTTGACAGTTTTCGTCGGCATCATCAGCGTCGGCATTTTCGATTCTTCCCTTTGGCAACCAAAACACAAGCCGTGGGAAGACATTGCCATACAGTAATAGTCAAATTCGTCCCCAATAATCATCACACCCAGCGCATCGCGATTGATCTTCCAACACCATCCAGTCCCGATTCAATCCCAACAAACAACACCCATCTTTCCTCCCGGTCATACCAACGAAACCGTCAACAGCTCCCCACCAACGACCATCGCATCAATATCGATGACCATGGCCTCCCCAACCCCATCCTCCCCGGGCCCAACCCCCTTCCCCACCCGCCCAACAAAAGAAAACCCCGTCATCATAGTCGGCACCGGCCTCTCCGGCCTTGTCGCCGCCTTTGAGCTCTCGCGCGCCAACATCCCCTGTTTACTCCTCGACCAAGAACCCCGCACCTCTCTCGGCGGGCAAGCCTTCTGGTCTTTGGGAGGGCTCTTCATGGTCGACTCCTCCTTCCAGCGACGGATGGGCATCCGCGACTCGCGCTCCCTGGCCCTGCGCGACTGGTTGAGCTCGGCACAGTTCGACAAGCTGGAGAAAGAAGATTACTGGCCCCGGAAATGGGCCGAGGCATTCGTGAATTTTGCCACGGACGAGATGGAAGATTACATGAAAGCGAGGGGACTGGGGTTTTTGGTTAATGTCGGGTGGGCGGAGCGTGGGGACGGGAGGGGCGCGGGGGGGCATGGGAATAGCGTGCCGCGGTTTCATGTCAGTTGGGGCACGGGGCCGGAGGTCGTTAGGGTTTTCAAGGAGCCCGTTGAGAAAAAGGAAAAGGAGGGGGTGGTGGAGATGAGGTTCAGACATTGTGTTGATGAGATTTTGACTGATGCGACCGGTAGGGCGGTGGGCGTCAAGGGTAGGGTGTTACAAGACGAAGAGGTGCCCCGGGGCGAGAGCTCAACGCGGGAGGCAACAGGAGACTTCGAAATTCGTGGCGCGGCGGTGATTATCGCCAGCGGAGGAATCGGAGGAAACTTGGAGAAGGTAAAGAAGAACTGGCCTATCGACCGCCTCGGTCCCAAAGTGCCAGACACAATGGTCATGGGCGTGCCGGCGCACGTGGACGGACGGATGATTGACATCGCCGAGGGCGTGGGCGCGAGCGTGATCAACAAGGACAGGATGTGGCATTACACGGAAGGACTCAAGAACTGGTCACCCATCTGGCCCGGCCACGGCATCCGCGTGTTACCTGCCCCTTCCTCTCTCTGGCTAGACGCCACAGGCAAGCGCCTGCCCCCGTTCCTCTTCCCCGGGTGCGACACGCTCGCCACGCTCAAACACATCTGCAGCACGGGCTACGACTACTCCTGGTTCATCTGTAACCGCACCATCGCCGCGCGCGAGTTCGCGCTCTCGGGGTCCGAGCAAAACCCTGACATAACCAACAAAAGCATCATCCAAACCCTTCGCCAGCGCGTGTTCAGCTCCAACGGCACCGTGCCGGTGCAGAACTTCATCAAGCACGGCGAGGACTTTGTCGTGAGAGATAACCTCGAGGACCTGGTGGCGGGCATGAACGAGCTCATCATGGCAAAAACTGGAGGGGGTGGTGTCCGTCTTCTTGATTACAATGCCATTAAAGAAGAAGTCGAGGCCCGCGACAGCCAGTTCGAGAACCCGTTCTCGAAAGACGCGCAGGCGATGCTGATCAACAGCACGCGGAATTACTGGCCCGACAAAAAAAGTAGGGTGGCGCCGCCGCATAAGTTGCTGGATAAGAAGTATGGCCCGCTGATTGCGGTGCGGATGAACCTGCTTACGAGGAAGACGTTGGGCGGGATAGAGACGAACCTGAGCAGCAATGTTATGAGGACGGATGGCACGCCGTTCCCGGGGTTGTATGCGGTTGGAGAGGCGGCTGGGTTTGGAGGGGGTGGTGTGCATGGGTATAATTCCCTTGAGGGAACGTTTTTGGGCGGGTGTATCTTCTCTGGCAGAGCGGCTGGACGGGCTATTTTGGAAGAGGTTCTTGGGACAACGGGTTTGCAAGCGAAGCTTTGAAGGGGGAGGTTTTGGATAGCAAGGACGGTGTCACGAAGCATTGGAGAAGTCACTGAAGATACAGGCATGGTTTCACTGCACGATGAACTTGATACTATGAGAAATGATTGTGGTGTTTTTATAACGCAAGAATTCCTAACTAGTGATTCTTGAAAAAGTCCAACAGACTAGACTATCAGAGCAATACTGAAAATGACCGACGATCAGAAAACGGACTTCTCTGCCTGATAACGGTGGTGTCTCGAAGTGTTAAACTGGAAAGAAAAAGAAAAAGAAAACCCCATCGTCCTGTTATCTCTATTCCTACTTGGACAGTACCAATACTGAACCAATACCAATATTGCCTGTTTGCAATCTGCCTGACATCCAAGCAAACCATCGTGCCAAAGTCGTTCTCGTTCCTCCTACTCGTTTCGCAATCCGTCATGTCCTCTTGTCTTCCTCGCTGTAAAGGCCGCTACATCCCATAGCCTTTTTGTACCTCTCTTCCTCCTTTTGGGTTGGTAACTTCTTGTTTTTGTGATTATTTTCTTGTTCTGTCAGATCAAAACGGTTGACGCCCGCGTTACCATCGTTGAAAGAATGTGAAGAGTCGAAATGCTGAGAGGCAAGCAAGGCGATCGTGAAAGGGTGATATATATGTACATTTCATAGCAGTTTGGCAATGAGATCAAGGGCATCGAGCCCACCTATAAGCCGCGTATTTTGACTGCAGTCGTGGAGTGTGACGGCGAAGCTTTCTGAGAAGTTCGGCTCTGCTGTGGAAGGAGACAGGCTTGAGATCCTTCTAGTATCCATCCTTGATCTTGTCGAATTGCCGGATCTGTTCTCTGGTTGGGTATCTCTGGACCTCCTCCCATGAGACACCGGCATTGTCCGAGTCCGGAAGACGTACAAGCTGGAACTTTTTGAATGCTCCTCCGTGTTTGTTGGTGTCTATTTCTTGATCGACGACCTTGTATAGCCCATCATATCGAATGCCAACTGTGGGGTAGATGGGACTGTGCCTAGCATCAGAAGTGTTTCCTGCCTTTCGCAACACCCGCACCGGCTTGCCATTCTCCAATGACATCTCCAAACTTCTTGTCTCTGGACTGGTTTCGATTCTTGTAGGGTTGGCATTCTCAGTACTTTTGTCCGCGCTGTACCAAAGCTCGGTGCCCTTGTCCTCATTCAAGTCACGGTAGACTGAGTTTGCTGAAACAACAATAGAGTAGGCTCCAAACTTAGCATGGCCGGTGATGCCATGTTGAGGCGAACCGTGGACTCCATGAAAGAGAGCAGCCATCATGTACGCCCACCAAGCACCAGGCTTATGGCCGTTGTGACCAAAAGCTTTGGCGTTGCATTTCTCGCTCAGGTAGCGAGGATCCAGAACAGGAACAACACGGCCTGTCTTTGTCGTCTTGCGTGCCACGCCATGCATGATGCCTTGGAGGCCCCAAATCGGATGGGAAACGGGGGGAAGTGGGATGTCTTCTGTTACTGTCTTGGTGGAAGGGCGGGAGCCAGAAAGATTTCTACCCGTTGTACTGGTCGTAGCAACGGCGGAGCCTAAATCTTCTGCCTCACTTTCTTCTCCTTGGTGAGTTGTGAAGTCCTTGCCCCAATCTTCGCTCTCGTATTTCTCAAGTACTTGCCGAGCTAGTATCGACAAGTCGGGGGCCACTCTTGCCAGTGTTGGCGGAAACTCAGGGGGCAAATAAAAAGCGAGTGCCTTATCGAGGCCAAGCTTTTTGAATTCAGGCTTTGGCTCTACTTCGTGCAGTAGATGAAGTAGGTAGGCTCGCATATTTTTGATATAGCCTTGTATTTCTTCCTTGCTGAGTTTCTTGGAGTCGTGACGCCGGTTGTCATAGGTCAAGATGTAAAGGGTTTTGAGCTGGTGCCATCCCGACTCAACAGATTCAACCCAGACACAAGCTGTTTTTCCGTCCGTGGAGTTGGCTTCAGTCGTCGCCTGGGTCATTTCGACGTCTTGGTTGGTATCACTATCGGTTACCGGAGAGAGAAGTTGTGTCAGAGTGGCGTTTGAGGAAAGGTTTGAAGCCAGGGGAGACAGGATTCGGCCAGAAGGCTCGCCGTGGGACACCATGTCGGCTGATGGGACTTGAATCTGGACTTGCGATGTCGATGAGATGGTATGAAGGGCGCGCGCTGCCTCGGTGAGTTTCGGTGCAGGGCGTATTTTGTGTTTCTGATGCGAGTTAGCGGGGCCAACTTTTGGGTAGGTAGATCTTCGGGACATGCATCCAAATTGTACAGGTATGTATGTTCCTGCAGAAACTCACGCGCGGCACAAATGCGATCCGAGTGAAGGCTAAACAAATGGGTGCGCAAGCGGGAGTGAAGGGTGGTGATTTAAGGGAAAGATGACACAAAAGCGATGATGCGGTGACTTACGTCTGAGGATTTTTTGATGCCATTCTGAGAAAGGCTCCCGGTAGGTCCACGGTTCTTAAGTTTCATTCTAGGCGAGGTAGGAGACAACAGGGGCGGCGAATGCTTCCTTCTTTGTTGGCCGCATCCAGATTTGTTGTTTTTTCCAGGTTGCTCCTTCATTTTTTTTATTGGAAGTATTCCAATTTGTATTGTGTAGCTGCCGTTCTGAACTCTCGGTTGCAATCCAGGGAAGGAGCGATTGAATGGATCACTCCGACCGCAAGAGCGTCGGACTGAAGCTGGGATGAATCAAGGTCGTCCCGGCAAGAGGCAATCACCGCCCTTGAATGCGATGGATCGATGCGATGAAATTGGTTATGTCGTCACTTGTCAAGCGACGGACTGCCTGCGTAATTTGAGCAATTGAGCAACTCTCCAAGTAGTATGGTGGATGAGTTGTTGATATTGAGTACTGTCTATATATAAACTGCTTCTGTTTGATATTCACGTTCCGAGTATAGACGATGCGTTCAAACGGAAGTCACCTCCAAGTCGACTGCAAACGCGCGAGGACTTGAAGATTATACGATCAAGAGTTTATCTGATCTTTTTATAGCTTCTCATGTATAGGTCATGTAGAAGCGATGCCATGTATGTGCATGTGCATCCGACAGTTTTATTGCAGACCGACATGAGTCGTGCAAGTTTGATTGATGTTCTCAATTGCCCATGTATGCAGTGCAAGGCGTGACGTTGAAGGAGGAGAGGATTGCGCTCCGTTTGTTGTGCAGGTGAGGCACGGTGAGAGGCTGTGGTAAAGGTGAGATGTGAGGATATAAAGGTAGGCAAACGAATCAAGGGAGGGAGACGGGATGAGAGAAAGAAAGGAGGAAAGGAACTCTAAAAGTAAAATGTGAGGAAGGCAAGAAATTTATAGTAAATAAAAGCGGGTCATTGTTACGAACTCAAGCGAGTCACACGGTGTAAGGGTTCTACAAGGTATACACGCAGGTAGGCCTTGGTGAAAGTGGTAATATTCGACAAAGAGGAAAAGGGAAGTCTGTGCCAGTATGGCATAGAGCTTACAGCTAAATACACAAGAGAGGTGCGGATATCGAAGGTGCCAGAAACACCAAGGTCAGAAATGTGGTTCGTGCGGCGCACCCCGGGAGTGCACCCAACCGGAGGGCAGGCCTGGCTTATATAGGGTTCAAGCCAGGCAGACACCCCTGAGCGCCAGCCCCATGACACACGGGTCAACCAAGCCACCAGGATACGACAGCCACGCAGAGGTGGGACAGTGTGACCATAGGAGCCAGTAGAGGCTCACGCCGTGAGCCAGGACCT